GCACGGCCGCGTCCAAGCGAAGGGAGTTGCCGTCATGCATGGAACAGGTGCAGTCCAATTTTAATGCAAAGGCGGACTGTCTAGCCATGCAAAGGTAATTGTATTGCTTGCCAATCACTTTGGGCCTGCAAATGCCTTTGCAAGAACATAATGCAAATGCACATCTCATTTTCTTAGGAAGGAAGGTAATAACAGTCGTTAAATATTTGGTTGAATGCACTATAGCAAATTAGTTTACTTAAAAAAAAAGAAAAGAAAAGAAAAGAAAGTATAGGATGCCCAAACTATATAATCTGTTTGTGTAATATATCGCCACCACAAATGCATTCCTGAAGGAGAGGTTATTTAAAACTGCTCTTCCTTACTGCCCCTTCCAAGTGGAAAATAAATTAAAGTTTTAATGTGTTTAAATCTAGCTGTTTTTCAATAGATAAGGGTTCATAAACTCCCTGGCATTTGTATATTACTGCATCTGTTGTATATGAATATATGTTCGTGTACACCAACATTTTCCTTGGGAAGACATTTTTAATTAGATTATTAAAGGCCATTGTCACATACCACTCCCCTCTCCCCCTAAAATTTAAAAACCACTGACTTACGGTGTTTGTCTATAGATGCATTCAATTTAGAAGCTTTTTTCTTTTTTTATGTAACAGAAGTTACACTTTACCACTGGCTGGAGATTTGAACAAGAATTCACACCCAAAACAAAGACACAAACAACAAGCTAGAGAGAATTCTGGAAAATATTCTGATAATGGGTGATAACTTTAGTTCCTGGTGTTCCTATCAAATGAGAAAGGTCCTAAACAACAGACAATACGGTCTGGGGATTAAGATATTTAGATATTAATACCAGAAAGCATAGTTGATTGATGGACAGAAAGGTGCATGCACATCCTCCTAGAGGCTGTGTCAGAGGCCTTTCTAGGACCTAGCCTGAAAGCATTCCTAAGGATCTATGGGTGCTTAATAGTTAAGGAACTAATTAAGAGCAAGGATTTGGTGAGGCCAGTCTCACAGGGTTACTTTGGGTGTTGGGGTTCAGTTGGGGTTCAGGTACTAAATGAACCATCATTTTAGTATCTGATGTTGTACTGAGTCTGGTGGGTACATCTTCAAGGCATCTACCTGCCCTCTCCATCCATGGGTCATCAGTCTGCAAGATCCATTGGATGGTAATTGTCCAAAAGGCAATTTCTCCCAAATGTGAGTCATAGAAAGACAGACTGGACATTGAGCCTTCTCTAGCAAAACTGAGTCCAAGATCAAATGCGAGGATTGATCCATTCGGCTGTCTATGAAACCATTCACTAGCTAATATTTTATTTATGATCTATATATTCCATAAATGATTGAAGTGCCTTTATCCAAATCCAGCTCTGTGGCTTGTGGGGAATGGAAGTCTGTGACCTGTATGCAGGTGCCTCCAAGGAAAGGGGGTCAGACACTAGGTTTCTAACTCATTGCCCATACTCACTCCGTTAATATTGACAATCAACAGTGAGTTGGCTGGCTCAGTCTAGGTTTCCCATTCATTCCCACGATCCCCCTATGGCAAATGACCACGTATTAATGTCTCAGGAGGTTTCTTTTTAGCGATGTGAGAAAGAAGAGAATAGGGCCTCTCTAGAACCTGTGTTCTTCACTTGCTGGGAAGAACTTCAGAAAATACCAGAAAGTGGAGGAGAAAACCAAATCAATAAAGGGAAATAGAAGAATAGGGAAGGCATGGTTGGTGAATCCTCCTGCATGACTATCTTGATCTTGGGTACCTCCAAGGGTCACCTGAGTCTCCATGGAAGTAGCCATGGAGGTTCTGTGGGAAAACAATATGGAAACCATACATGGAAATAGGGTAAATGATACATTTTTGGTTGGAATTTCAGTAACAGAGTATATATTGCATACTTCTATGAAGATCAGAGATTTAGGTTGCCAGTGAGCTATATCTTCAACTGGTGACAAATGGAAAACCATAATAAATGCAGCTTGCTAGGTGATAACCTTAGTAAAGATGGAGATCACTGGGTGTGAGGGAGAATGGTGGAATGGGATTTCAACGTGGAACTTTAGGAAGTGCCTGGACTTAAGTGCATCCTACATTTCTCCTTTTTCTGGAAGCCTTCTCTAAAAACCCAAGCTGAGCTAAGGGGCCTCCCTTGGTGCTCACAGGACACGCTTATCGCTAATCACAGTTATTGAAATTATTAGCATACATGGTGCCCCCTATTCCTAATGGGAAGAATCTCCTCTGAAGGTGCAAGACACAGTGCATGGAATTGGGATGCTAGGCTGAACTGTACTGGAGTAAAGACATGAGTTGAATCTAGAAATCTCCGCCACCAAAGGAACAGTTTTGGAGAGGAACAGCTACAGGATATCCACCACTATCACCTGGACCACCTGAATCCTGATAATGTCGCTTCTTGGGAACAGAAGTAGGTTTCCAATACCTTTGCTGTTTGCTTCTACTCAAGCCCAGGGCTCTCACCACTCCAGCCCACATCTGCTCTGTCCTGTCCTCTGCTATTCTTTCCAACATGAGCTGCCTCCCTGCACTCTCCGCAGCCTAAGCCAACAAGCAGAAGCAAAGGGAAACCTTCATTTAAGATGCTGGGTTTTTTTCATTTGGTGCTAGTGTACTCCAGGGAGTTTGTAACACAGCAACACAGCCTAGCTGAATTTCCTGTTTTCAACCAGCACTTGGCTCTTATAGAACTTACAGACATGGACACACGCACCCCTAGGGTGCACCCCTAGCCCTTCTGCTCCATCACCACCCTCTTCCTGTGTTGAGAATTTCATCTTACTACTAAGGGGGGTTTTCAGGATTCCACTGAGAATATTACTAGCAAAGAGGCACGGTGTACCATTATAACTGAAATGATTAGGAATATTGCTGGAATACTTAAATTAATTAACATCTGAAGCAGTCGCCAACACGTTGCTTCACCATTTGGAGATGCCCGTGTCTCTTCCTGGTGAATGTGGCGTTAATTAGTTATGTGTGGTTATTCCCAGCAAAGAGTGAGCTCATTGTAAGTGAGCGAATTTCAATTTTATGGCAGGTGTGTTATTTTGAGATTTTTATAAATCGTTCATGGGAGGATAAGCCATATAATTTTACTTTATTTCTTTCCTGTTCAGTATACTAGTGAGATACGGAGGGTACATATACCAAAAAGCTACAATTACCGTCTACTAAGATAAGATAATAATTTTCCGACCAGCTAATGTGGTATAAACATGCAATTTTGTATTTATGGCTTATGAATCTTGCTTTAGTAATTACGTGAGCCTACAGGGTAACTTGGTGGGTTTCTTTCCTTCATAACAACTGACTGTGTGACCTTGGGAATAACACGTCTTTACTTCTGCATTTCTGGGTCCATGATGAGACGGGCTCAACACCGTGGGGTTGGAAATAATGATTAACACGGTGGATGCTTCCTTATATCACGTGGCCAGATACATAAGGCTTAGGGGGTGCAGATGCATGTTTTTGGAGGGTGGGGAGAATTCGGGGCAATTTCATCCTTGGTCTGTTATCATCACCATCTTTCCATGAGAAAGAAATTTTTACTGTTGTTTTGTCCGCTATGAAACTCAGAAGTGACCTGCATCTAATGACAACACAAGAAACCATGGGCGTGGACCGATCTCTCTTTGTTTTCTCTTCCTGATGATTCCATCTAGTTTAATTTATTTATATTCTTAACTTTGTCTCATTGCATTTGTGTTTGAAACACTTCAAATGCTCTCCTCTGCAATGGGTGAGATATGAATAAATAATGAAAAAAGAGTGGTTCCCTTTGTCATCAGTATAATAGAGAGATGATCTAGGCTAATTCAAGTTTTCTAAAAGATTTATAAGCAACAGAGCTATTAAAAAATGCATTAACCCTTTTCATACAGCCGGGAATACAGCCATGTTCTTTCTACAGACCAGAAAAGCCAGTCATTGGCCAGGAAAGCCTTGTGCCAAACTGTCCTGGGCATTAGCAGAGTTTTTCTGCGTAGCACTATTGACATTTGGGGTCTGATAACTCTTTCCATTGGGGGGGGGGCATCCTGTGCACTGGGGATGTTGAGCAGTGTCCTTGGCCTTCACCCACTAGATGCCATTGCACCTTCTTGCTCTTGCTGCAACAACCCGAAACATCTCCAGACAGTCCAAACATCCCCTGAGTACCACAGGAGACATCTCTTTCTCCCTGACTCCAGGGCTGCTGGAATGTTCCAGGAGGATCCCTTAACAGGAAGAAAGAAAGGACAGCATTTTGGAGTTGCAGCCCACCACACCAGGACCACCGTTCCTCAGCATTCCTCGCCACCCCTTGATCCTCACTTGGCGATTCCAGAGTCCACGCACACAGATACCAAACCACCAACAGGAGACACATCAACCTGCATTTCCTTGCAGTGGGCAAAGGAAGGCAAATGCCCATTTTGGAAAACCCAACTGAAATGAGCCTTACTTCCAATTTCTCTGGACTTGCCAATGTTTGCGTTTGCTTCTGCGCCTAATTTTCTCTTCTCAGGCAAGGGTTCATAAGCCTTGCCGGGCAAGGTGTCTTTGGGGAGGGGAACCAGACACCCCCACCCCGCCACAGTGAACTTGATGTTTGGGGACTCAATGTCCCTCCACGGACGGATTCAAGGGGCAAATGTGATCCAACCTCCTTAATAACCAGATGTTTGCAATCATCAGAAATACATCTTTGGCTGTAGCCATTTCTCTGTTCTCCAGCATTCAGTCTCAGAGAGAATTTACATAACAACATGTGACATGTAGAATGCTTAAAGGCACCAACCATGACAGGACAAATTACACTCATTTTTCAATACTCTTTGCAAGGTGCTCCACTGCAGGCGCGCCGGGCTGCATGCTGGGGCGGTTCTGGTGGGGCAGTCAAGACCAGCATGCGCTCGCAAACAGGAGGGGGGCCAGTGTGGGAGGCCCGGCCCGGGGACGGGGAGGCCACCCCACTTACCCGCCGTAGGCCGGGATCGGGGGTGGGGGCGCCGCGGCCCGGAAGGTGTTGTACACGGTGCGGCCGCGGCCTCGCAGGTGGGCCCCTCGGTAGGCGGCCGCGGCGGTGGCAGCTGGATACGGGAAGCCGGGCACTGCGGGGGGGGAGAGAGACACAAAGGCTTTCAGGAGCACACCTGTCGCTGGGGGCGGCCCGCCCCCCAGGACCCTTCCCCTGCAGGCCGCGGTGGACACCTGCCCTGGGCTGGAGACAGGCAGGAGGCCAGGGGCCCCGACAGACAGAGGCGCACATCAAGGCGGCGGTCCCTGTGCCCCAGACATATGGCAAATGACAGAGACGCACAAAGAACCCTTAGTCACAGGACGAGCTGTGAGCACTGCACGAAGCCAAAACTCTACGAGGGTAGATGGCGAGAAGTACAGGCGGGGTGTCGTCCGCATCTACCTCTATACACACATCTGCATGTTGTGCACAATGGATATTTCTAGGCGTCTGGGCACACGATGTACATGTAGGATGCCCACATGCGTGTGCACGTGTACGGGACCATGCATGGCCGTGTTTATATGGTGTGTATGAGTGCAGGCGTCTGTGGGACTGTACGCATGCACGGTCATACGTGCACGTATATGCCTGTGTATACACATGCACACGTTTTGGGGTGTTCCTAGTTCTCTCTGGGGCTGAACTGGGTGTTGTCTGTTGATTGCTTTCCCCGTCCTGTTTTTATTTATTTCCCACATTCTCCTTTAAGTACATATGTGGCTTGTTAAAATTTTTTAATGGCAACACAGTGTTTCCACAGGCACGTGCATGCATGGCAAGTGTGCAAAGAAACAAATGGTTACCGATGGTGTCCCGTCAGCCCCCAAACCATTTAACAGCTTTTAAGATGCAGACGACAACCGTGATTACAGACGCGTCTGGGAACTCAACTCCTAGGAAGAGGGTGTGGGGCTGAGTTTTCCTCCTTGGAGGAGAATTCTCGGAGTAGGATGGCTCGCTGAGGAGTCGAGAGGGAAAGGAAGCCTGATGCCAGAGACCCCTGATAATTCATTCTCTTGCCTCTGCCTGGGATGGACCTCCTCCTGGGGGTCTGCAGGTCCTGACACCCTGGGGCCCAGAAAGCCTTCGGGAAACCACTTCTGCCCTTTTTACTTGCCTGACTCTCGCCATGCCAGCTCCGGGCCTGCCATCCACCCAACCGCAGGCTGGGCGCCCATACCACATCCCCGGGAGGACACGCTTTTCTGGGAAATCACACTGGGGGATCCACTGTGGCAGGAGATCTGTTTTAAAGGCCCAGAACAGCCAGCCTCTTGCAGGTATCGGTTTTGGGAAGAGGCTCAGTCCATGTGTTACCTTCTCCCTATCATCCAGCAGGTGCCTCCAGGCGTCCCCCAGCCCATCCGTCTTTGCTTCTGCCTCCCCAAGTCAGTAGAAGCCCTCTGATTTCATTAACAGTAGGTTCTAGATATTGGACACCCAGATGAATGTAAGGGGGGCTTCAATATGTACACAAGAGAGCGGAGTTAGAGGCTGTGGGCGGCCAAGTGATGGACAGACTGGCCAACCACCCTTCCTTGACCCTGACCCAACAGGAGCTTTCCAGAGGGAGGGAGACATGGGAAAAAGGAAGCAGGGTGGCAAGGGTTTCCTCCCCTGCACAGCACCCCCACTCCCTTGGGAGCTCATGCAGTGTTTGAAAAGACAGGCAGGGCTGGGAGGGACAGTTTCTTCAGGCGTGACATGAGCACAGAGGCTCAGAACATCCTACCCCAAGGGGAGGTAATCTCCACTCTCCAGGAGCTCCATTTCGGGGAGCACCTCACCTCTCATAGGATGTTGTGTTTCAGGCTGTAATGAAGTTGCCTCCAGCTTACATCCAAATTGCTAAGGGTATGTGTGGGGGGGGGGGACGGCCTCTCTCCTTCCTACCACCACATTCAGGAGCAGGATCTCCATTCCATCTGTCCATTAGCCATGGGGCCCTCAGACACACCAAATCCTAGCTGCTTGGGGGGTGGCAAGGGATGGGGAGGCAAGGGGGTGGGGGGTCTCCCACCAAAGCCATCCCCAATTCCATATACCTCCTAGACCCACATAGACTGCAGTGGAACCCCTGGACCCAAAGTGTAGACTGACTGGCTATCATCAGGAATGATCCCTGTGTCCTCATGGTTTCTACATCTTTCTCTCACAACGGAGGGTAAAATGCTGGGATTGTAGAACCGAGTCAGAATGATTTTATCTTCCCATTGATGTCTGAAAAGACCATACAGTTTATTTTTAAACCTTTTTTTTTTTTTAAATACTGTTGTTAAAGTCCAATCACACAGCTGTACTTAACCCTCAGCTTGCCGGCCCCTACGCACCCCCCTGCCCCTGGGCTTGTGTTTCAACACATGTGCTTGACATTGCAGGGAGGTGTCAACCCTCATGGGGAAAGCCACTAAGTCCTAACACCATAAAGGCCCAGAAGTAACGAGATAGGCGATGTTTGCTTCAGGACTGGCGAGGAAATGAGGGAGCGTGGCTTTGACTCCCAACTCTATCTCGCCACAGTTCAAATATTGAGTTTTCATAGGAACGCCCTGGATTTTGAAATAAAGAAAATGAAAAATTCACAATCTGGCAGAACAGCTGGCTGCCTGTGTGAGGAGACACGGTAATTATGCTGACCCATTCATTATCGCCGGCTCCAGAGCAGAGTGAGCGAGACCAGATCCCTCTCAGCGACAAGCAGGTTTTACAATAATTCTTGGAGGATTTAGATGTTGAGATACAACATGAAACAGAAGCTCGGCAGCAGAGTGGAGACAACACAAGCTGCTGGAAGTGTAGAGCTGGGACTGCGGTCGTGCCCCTTGGCTGCAGGGCCGGTGGGGCGGGGGGGTGAAGAGGTCCCTCCCGAGGCAGGGGAAGGCAGCTACAGGTCTCAGGGCAAGGCCTTTGGGGTTCCTCCGAGAGGGGTTCTTATTTTGTTAAGGGAACACAAGGAGGACAACACATCAACCTCGCTTTTCTGGGAGGCCAAGTGCCCTCAGGCAAAATAAGGAGGTTCTTCAGTTCCTGCTCTGGACCAGAGGCTTTGTGCAGGAAGCATGGGTGTCCCCCGGATGGGTGGTTTGCTCAGCTATTTCTTTTTTGCTACCAGTCTCGGGCTGCCAAGGGGTCCCCTTATGAAGCCTCCAGGTAGTCATCATGATTAATGAACATTTTCTTCTTTCTTATTCTGGTCCTCTTTTCCTTCCTTCCACCCTCCCTCCCTACTTTTTTTATGTTTTAATCTCTTTTGGAAGAGAGCTGCCACAAAGCTCTCCGGGGGTGCTAGCAATCAGGGACCTTGGAAGACAGAAACCAAAGAGAAGGACTCTGGCTATTGCTAGAAGGTCAACTCACTGAGGGCAGAGACCCCTCTGCCTGTTGATTCAGAAGAGCGCTCAGCACATAGCAGGTGCCTGGATACCCTTTAGACTAACCAAGGTTAGTCTCCCTCCTTCTAGGACAGCAGCCCTACTGCCTCCTCACCTTCCATCTCCCAGAACATTGCCCTCTCTACAAAACACTCTGCTCGGGATTTGCACATACGCAGTAGGCCAACAGCACAGTTGGATCTCAGTCATGATCCCTATGAAAGTCACTTCTACAGTCATACTTACAGGTGCTGCATTGGCCCCGGAATGGCAACCACACTCGGGATATGTGTGATTCTGATAAGAAGGGAGAGGACTTGGGCAAAAGTATTGTACTTGGAATGACTGCAAAACCCTGAGTTCATGGAAATTCACGTTCCATTCACAGTGGCTGCACTGTCAGGATATGGCAGCCGGGTTCTTGTCCTGGGGAAAAGCAGGACTCAAACTCCACCCCACCCACCACCTGCCCTAGGCACTGATATGTCTGGAAGGGCCTGTGGGGTCAGGTTCCTTCTGTCACACAGCCCCAGACCATGCTCTCTGGCAATCCAGCAAATCTCAGTCTCTGAGTGCAATACATGTGTGCAACAAGGAACAATGGGATATAACACTCTTTAGAATCCCTAACTCCTCCATTCTATAGCTGAGCTTTCTAGGTTTCTCCTCATTTTCACCAGAGGAGGTTTAGGATTCTGAGTGGCTCTCTTCGCTCACCATTAAGACAAATGGCCAATTCCACGGCTAAAACCAAACCAAACTAACACCTAACAACTGTTGGTTAAGCTTCCTTTAGACTCTTAGGATGGAGGGAACTGATTTGCCTACCATGCGCATTGGCCTGTTGGTGCCGGGACACGGTTAAATGCATATTTGAAGCAATTACCGAGACAGATGATTCAGATACAGATTAAACAAGACTGGAATGGCTTTATCCTTGAACCACATAGAAAGAAGACATCTCAATTAGGGGCTTAGTTTGGGATATGACACCTTTCTGTTGTTGAGTCAATGTTATCACATTGTCTATCAATGCCCTAGTTCAGGAGTTTGGATCCAGTAAGTGGGCAATAAATGTTTAATAAATCTAATGCAAAAAAATGCCAAATGGAAACTCACAACATCCTCTCTCTTTCTGGAACGGAGTAAATCAATGTTAATAAAAGTCATAAACCTGTCACCATGTCCCATGTTTGTAAAAGCCTCTTTGTTAATGAAAGAACAGTGTTAGAAAGAAAAGACACCAAATTATAGGCATTTCTAAACCCCTAGTGCTGAAGTTTGATTTTTTTTTTAAGCTGAACTCCCAGTTAATAAATATGTAAAGAGACCATCATTGGGGAACAATGCAAAGTATTCAGGTTGCTTTGAGGATACAGTATAAATCCTTAGTCGTTGGCATGAAGGAGACAAGGGAAGAAGGGAGAAAAAAAAAGATCAACAACAACAACATAGGTTCATTATACTGGAAAGGTTCCCTCTTAAACCTTATCCAGCATGAATCAAAGTGAAAAATCTGGTATCACTGCAACGAAAATTGGATTTAGCTCATAAGCTAAAAATGAGTTTCTCTCAAAGAAAACAGGGCAAGAGCTTTTGGAGCAAATACCAATTGCGCATCTTGTTGACACATCAACATTCCCTGCCTACCCACTCCTGGCCTTCAGCTAGATTTATACCCATAGCATATTTTGGGGGGAGTGTTAGTAGAATAACC